TTGCAGTCGCATAATGCTTGATCCCATACATTTACACCTGGTATTAACATAAGTCTCCGGTGTCCGCATCCAGATCCTTCCCACTGATGTCACAACAACAATAAAAACAACAACAACGACTCCTTGTTTTTCAGAGCAGACACTTCGTCTCACCGTTTACTCCATCCTCGGCTATCATCCATGTTTTCTTTATGTTGGCAGTCGCTACCTGGTGAGGGTTGTTGTTGTTGTCTTCTTCCTTCTTCCTGTGTCCAGCTGGCGCACCTTGCCTACGTATTTTTGCCCACAGAGTTGTTGCATGTGGATTGGAGACGCATTTGCATTTACACTTGTGTCCGATGTGGTCAGGGGCGGACTGGGACTAAAAAACAGCCCTGGACTTTGACTCGGCCCAGCCCACAACAACCGGTGCGCATAAGGTATGCGCTTCCTTCTTCTTCAATTTGATTGGTGGCCGGCCAGCTCATAGATATCTATGCCAGCTGGCATCCAGTTTAAAGGCTGCCACCTAGCGGACTGGACGTGGAACAGTAGATTATCAGGGAGAAAAAAGAAAAGAAAAAAAAACGGTGATGACTGCGTAGCGGCCGCCTGCCGTCCTGGGGTACCGGCCGTTCTGTGATTCTCCAGAACCTCCAGATGGCCAGTCCGCCCCTGGATGTGGTCACAATGCGTCCCTGACCACCTTCAGAAGTGGTTTGGCAGATCAGATAACAATCCATCCTCAATGCGTTTCAAGCGTATTTACACCTGTACTTTCATGTGGTCAAGAGCAATCCGATTGCAATCCGATCACAAAAACTGATGTTAATGCCAAGTGTAAAGGGGGTATTGCGTGCCTCGGCACAATAGACAACCAAGAAAGGATGGCAGAGGAGATCCCCACACACCAACACACCTGGGCTGGGCAGCCACGAAAAAAGGTTCACAGGCTGAGATCAGTGCCAAAAAATGTCAGTTTATTCAGAATACGTGCACAAGAAGAAGGCTGCTCAGAAAATAATAAAAACTGAATAAAAGACAGCAGCAAACCTTTCAGTCCCTGACTTCAGAGGGTCTGATGTTTCGAAGCCTGTCTTATTGTCCCTCCAGTGTAGTCTTAAACACTGGAATCCACCTATTAAATAAACACAATGTATTTTTAACTCTATAATCTCAATAAATACTGGGGTGGCATGGCAGTGCAGTGGTTAGCATTGTCACCTCACAGCAAGAGGGCTCCTGGCTCGAACCCAGGGTGGGGTAGCCCCCCCGGTGCAGAGCTGCATGCTCCCCCATGGCAGTGTGGGCCCTCTCCAAGTACTCCAGTTTCCTCCCTCAACCAGTTTAGAAAAATGGGGTGAAAGTTATTGGCTTATTTGATGCTCATTGATCTACAGAAAAAAGTGAAATGAGCCAAAATTGACCTATAAAGCATTATCTTTTTTTTTGCATCTGTAGTCCCCTGCTAGATGTTTAAAAGGCACTCTAGAAATAGCTAGAATATTACATATTTATAAAATATACCTTTATATAAATTGATAAATATCACACACGTCATGTAGTGGAGGGCAGGAATAGCAGAGGACAGATAAAAGACAGACAAGATAGCAGCAGAAGACAATGTGTTTTGATAGTCAGTTTTGTAAATGTCACAAAGAAACCAACAGCTGCTATTTGAAGTACTTTATGAGGAAGGCACATTTGACACGCTCGCTTGACAAATTGCAAATAAATGTGGTTAATTTTACTCAATTCCCTGGAATCCACTGACAGTTAACGAGAATTACCAAGCTGAACACACCCTACTGCTGCATTCATGAAGGCGGCCTACACTTTGAAATTCTTGGCGCGAGTTCAGTTTTGTAGTTAATAATTGCTTGTTGATGGATAATTCTCTTATGTGTGTACTAATCCTCCAGTTAGTAACTAAATCTGTTCTCAATCATCTGAGACTCTACACCAATGTAAGAAAGACACTAACAACTCTGTTCTTCGGAAAATTCTTTTTCATGTAAGAATACACCAAAAATTAAGATACCAAACAAAATGTTATTATCATGGTAATCGCTGGTTATAGATGATGATGATAAACTTCATATATATAGCTTAATTCATAAAAATGGATGTCTGATATAAGCCAACACTACGAAAGCTTCAGAGAAGAACTGAAATATTTGGAGGAGCATGGAAAGCATGTTTTTATTTATTTATTTTTTTCAATAAAAATATATCAGATTATAAGGATAAGATCTCTTTCTATGTATAGTGAGGTAGGTTGGTGAAGGTTCTAGACCAGAAAAATTATATTTTTGTAAAATGATGGCAGGAACAAAAACACATTGTGATGACAATAAGACCACATGTCTTTCTGTTTGCTCCACTGGTGAGAGTTAACAAGATGAACACCTGTATGCAGCGACCCTTTCAGGGGCAGGGCTGGGGAAAAGAAAAGGTACCTCCACCACCTTCACAGGTATACTCTAGACTTTTATGTAACAAATCAGTGGAATGCTCATTTCTATAATTTCTTTAATTAATGTGGAGAGATTCTTGAAGTCAGCAGTGTTTAATGGTTTTACATGAGGTTTGATGCTGACTCAGGATCCCTCTGACAAGTAGGGGTCGGGGAAAAAATCGATACAGGGTAGTATCACATTTTTTTGTGTGTGGCAATATCGTATCGTCACACATTGCCAAGCATCGATTTTTTTATTATAAAAGTCGTTAACATTACACATACAAATTAATTAAGGTAGCCTACTAGAATGATATAATCAAATGCGTTTTTAGTCCACTGGATACATTTTGCTGCTGCAAAAAAAAAAATGGCTGAGGTGTAATGAACAGAGTGAAACTTTATCTTGTTAGATAAAACAGACGTTGACAAAGTTTTTCTTTGGGGACATAATTTAGAGTTGAAAAAAGGTAATATGCTCGGAGTAGAGCTGCTGCTCCTTCGTGTTGAAGGGGGTCAGTTGAGGTGGTTCGGGCATCTGATCAGGATGCCTCCTGGTCGCCTCCTGTTAGAGATGTTCTGAGCACGTCCCACTAGTAGGAGGCCCCGGGGCAGACCCAGAACACGCTGGAGGGACTACACATGCCATCTGGCCTGGGAACACCTTGGGGTCCCCCAGGAGGAGCTGGGAAGCGTTGCTGGGGAGAGCGATGTCTGTGGTGCTTTACTTGGCCTGCTGCCCCGCGACCCGGCCCCAGATAAGCGGATGAAAACAGTTGAATGGATTGATGGACTCAGCATATTGTAACACATTTAAAATTGCAATAATATTGTATTGTGACGTAAGTATCATGATAATATCCTATCATGGATCCTCTGGTGATTCCCACCCCCACTGACCAGTGGTAAGTGCAGACAGGGCACTTTGGGGAAAGCAGTGCAAGCCTCTTAAATCTGGCCTCTGTTAAGATGTTAGTGATTATGTCATTATGGGACATTCCCTCGTTGTCCAGATAAAAAAACAGCAATTTGTAAATGTGTTATTTTTTTAAATAATTTTTTCTGCTATTTAAAAAGAGTATTATGTGCCTCAAACACAAGAGTCCGCCCTGCGCTCCTGTGACTGTTTATTTTCCGAATCTTTTGTTGTCTAAATGTGGAAAATAAAGGAAAAACTTTGTTGCAGTATTTAATTTTTTAACTATACAAACTACACATATTTCAGAATTATTCTATTTACAGATATAAGAGTTTATTGTTTTACCTTTGTGATGTACCTTTTTATGTGTCACTTGAACTATACATTTTAAAAAATGATCTTTGATCACTTTGGATGTCAAAAGTGGAAAGAAATATTTCATAGCTCAACATAAAACCACTCTAAAAGCAAACAAAGATTTAACTCCAAGGTCACACAGTGCCAAATGTTGCATCTACAGATGTGTAAACAAATGACCCTTAAGAGAATTTTGTATAGGCAAAAATATTATGTGGTATCTCTGTTTACAGTCTTATTTACAGTGAACTTGTTGTTCCTCATTGATCCACACTTTGCCCGTAAACACCTGTTTTATATCATACATCACAACCCACAATCCCACCCAAGTAAACGCACGTGTCCTATTTTGTTTTAGTCACATTTACGTATCTTTTTTGATTATTGATATTTCCTTAAAATAATTTCCTATCACTGTTTTGTTAAGCCACCTACAATACTTTTTTCATTTATTTATTTTTTAGTCTGTAGGAAGATTAGATTACACTTTTAGTTTAGTTTAATTAGTTTTTTACTCAGAGTATTTGTTCCTGTGCAGTAACTGTCAGGGACTTGGCCCATAACTTGATACAGCCTCAGGATGTCCTCAAACATTCATCATCACACCCTCCCGTGACTCCCTTTGACCTTTTATCTTCACACATACACCGCACACACACACACAGACAGTAGGAGGAGGATGATCTGGTTTGTCAACATTTCACCCTCTGTGGCTTTTCGCAGGAATCACATTGTGTCATTAACGTTACACCCACACGACCTATTTACAAAGCCAATAACCCTGTTATCAAATGGATCTGTGTTGTTACAGATTGTCCTAATACTCCTTCAGCAAGCCATTTGACACCTCACTTTGTAGTTCCTATCAGGTGTAGTCAGGGATATAATTTTATTTGGTTTACTTTGGTTTAACATGCAGTGTCATGAATTTGTGCAGTGTGTGTGGCTCACTTTGACAACCAGTGATTTAATGTTATTCCGTCCGTGGCCACATGAAGCGCCCATAGGTATGAAATATTGTTGATAATCACCATTGTACACCTCACACAGACAAAGCAACTGTTGCATATTATAGTCAAGATAAAAAAAGATAAGTTGCTTCCATAGATTATTGCTCCTGGTTGCTTACCTTACCTACCCCCTTCCCGACACATGGAAACACACCCTGTACATGCTGGACCCTCACTATAAAGTTAATTTTTAATCCCTTTTTCAGGGTCACATACTGTATATACCACTATATATACTGTAACTTTACTACTGTGTCTTAGATAGCACAGTCGTGTCACTAATTGTGTGTTTTCTTTCTGATTCTTGAATACTTTGGATGATCACACTGTGTGGATCATGGCTGGGTTTTTTTCCTCTGGGCTGTGGAGGTATAGGAATTACATCGTAATAGTCCTGACACCTCTTTTACTTCTGCCTCTGCCCCTGATCGTCCCGACCCCGGTAAGAAAATCAGCATGTGCATGTGTTTTTGTTTATTGTAGCAGGACATATCTGCAAACATATTTTAGACTTCATGCTGATACACGACATATAATCCAAAGTTTTACAGTCACTGCTATGATACCAAGAGCCTTCAAATGCCACCTACCATGGATGTCTATAAAGGCTTAAATATGTGTCTCTGATGTTTAGGTGTCTCGATTGAGATGTCATGTATATGGTCAATGCTTCTCCCAAACTGTTTGTAACAAAGTTAGAGAGCCAGCTAAGTGCAGCTCACATCCCTTCAAAATGACAATGTACAATATGTGCAATTAAAGGCAGAGTGCAACTCTGAGCAGGGCTAAGGTGGCCGCGTGCACACACCTGCCTGAGTGAAGAAGCCGTTTCATTATTATGCTCGACCTTCATCTCTTGCCAATAATAACAAACATCAATTTTCATTTCAAAGGTCCCCCTTACCATGGCCTCAGATATTTTACAGCCCAGTCGTCCGGAGGAACAGGGTCTCTGCAGGTCTTAAATTCAATTTTTATAAGAAATATTAGGCCGTAAAAGTCATTAAATAACCTTCAATTTGAATCTGTGAGGTTTTAATTGGCACAAACATTTTATCTAATTTAATTTATCCATCTTTTAATTTCTTTTTGTCAAAATTAAGTGCGCTCTTCTACATGAAAGCTCACATTTCTGATGTTATGTCTTTAAACCTACCACTGAACCTAATATTTACTTTGTACGTGCACTTACCTGTTGGCAAAAAGGTTGATCAACCTTAGTCACCTTAATAACTGTATTCCCAAACATAGCCTACCTGCGCACAAGACCACATGTATACTATTTACCTTTATACTTGGCTTTGTAAGAAAAAATGGATTTGGCAAAAAAATCAGTCTTAAATATGGTTAAAATGATCTTGGAAAGGTCTTAAAAAGTATTAAATTTAAATGTCTGATACCTGTAGACACCCTGAGGAAACATTGGCATTGTATGTTTCTGCAAACCACGGATACTTTACATATATGTTTCACGCCTATCATGTCAACATTTCTAAAGTAATGTGCAGTAGTCTTCAATTACATGTGGAATTACATGAGCTGACTGTCATTGTGAGGTAAAGCGGATGGCTGATGGTGGGACACATGGGTGAGACGGCTGGCAAGCTGCCGACCAAAACAGGTTGTTTTTAAGCGAGACATTGCAGCATTTCTAGCGGCACTTGTGCCACCGAAACTGGGCTTTCTAACCCAAAATAAGATCTTTTCCTAACCATGACCAAGTGGTTTTTATGCCTAAACATAATCACACATTAACCACATCGCTGTCTTTTACTGCTCGTTTATAAACTCATACGTGGCTGCAAAAGTAGATTTTTGAGGTTAAAATCCCAGAAGCAATGTGATAACTAGTAGAAAACAGTGCAAACGCCACAGTGCCCTGACCTTAGATGTAATAAAACTCTGTTGTAAAACTGATGATGCATGACACACAAAGAAGTATGTTGGAGAGATTGTCTTGGTGGTGTTATTTGAAGATTTGTTTAGATGTTAATGAGGCAAATCAGTGCTGATTCTGCTGTCCATGACTGTAATGATATAAGTGATTGGAAAGATCATTCTACCACTGAAGAGTCCGGAGAGAGAAGAGCAGAGACTCGTTAAACAAACAGCAGCAGCTGAGCTCAAGTCTGAGACAGCCAAAGAAATATACAGGAGGGGAGTCACTCATGATATTTAGGGGATGCTGGAGACAATAATGACTGAAACTTTAATATTTAGTGAGGAAGTCTCTGCTCCGTCACTGATGTATTAGAACATAATACAGTATTTTCTAATACATATAACATGCAATTTACTGGGAGAGGTTGTAAAAATAGAATTTCACTCAGAAACTGATTATACATGAGAATCTATTTTCTGCCCTGTCTTGTTTGTTTTTCCAAATTAATTTGTCAATCCACAACGTGTATTTGAGAAAGAAAAATAGGGTTCCAATAGTATTGTATCCAAATCTGTAGAAAAATTTACCGAAACTACTGCAACAGAATGAAAATGGTGATCAAAAAGGGTCAGTGTGGAAGGACATAAAGCAACAAGCTTTACTTTGTCCTCTTAGCTGCAACATGTCTAGGAAAACCTCCGCCAGTGACCCTTGTCACCCTGTAGCCTAATCTTTAACTGACAAATTGAAAAGTGGGATTATGTACAGGGGTTCAGTCAGTCCCATTAAATCAAAGGCTACAGTCTGTTTCTACCTGTAGATTTTAAGGGACAGTTTGCCCCACATCGAAAAATACATACTTTTCCTCTCACCTGTATATCTATTTTTCAATCTAGATTGTTTTTGTGTGATTGGCAAGTGTTTGAGATATCGATTGTGATAGCTAGATAGATGGCACTCAAGTATCTTGAGTGGGGGTAGAAGGGAGCGTGAGACTGATCTACGGTTTGGTGCGCCTGTCATGGCTGAAGAGAGAGCTGACTCGGAGGGTGAAGCTTTTGATTTACTGGTCAATCTACGTCCCAACCCTCACCTATGGTCATGAGCTCTGGGTAATGACCGAAAGAATGAGGTCGGGGATACAAGCGGCCAAAATGAGTTTCCTCTGTGGGGTGGCTGGACTCAGTCTTAGATAAGGTAAGGAGCTTGAACATCTGGAGGGAGCTCGGAGTAGAGCTGCTGCTCCTTCACGTCAAAAGGGATCAGTTGAGGTGGTTTGGACATCTGATCAGGATGCCTCTTGGATGCCCACTGGTAGGAGGCCCCCCGCACCCTGGCCTCAATATGTATTTTTGATTTGGGGGTGAAATTCCCTTTAAAAGATGAACATTTTTGTGGCTCTTTGATTTTTTCTTGTTTGGCTGTTCTCTCTCTGTATAGCATAATTATAACCCATGTATGTGAATGCAACAAACCAATAATACACTTATGTATAGCTCCAAACTTAACGAGTTCAAGAATCTAAATGGAACATGTAGCAAAACAAGAAATAAAATGTAGTCATGTTAAAGAAAAATGAGTCAAGCAGCCATTATTTTGTTGTTTGGTTTGATTCTAGAGTTTTTTATGTTAAAATTTATTGTGTAATTTTATTATGTATTATGAAATTTATTATGTAATTCTTTATGACTGGCTGCAAATGTTTCAACAGCAAGTGCACATGCAGCCTCTTCCAGTTCAAACAAATGTACTCACAATTATCAGAAAATGGTTAACCACGCTAACTGGACTATAATTAGCCAAGGTTAAAAGGTTCATGGTGTGTTGTAGCTTCCTGCCAGGCATTACTGAGTGCTACTCTTTATGTGTAACATGTACTGTGTATTAAGCACGTTAATCAACCCAGTCCTCTTCTGTCATTGCAGGAGGCAAAATGTGGCTTTATAATAATCCTCATGGCGCTGTACTGGTGCACAGAGTGTATCCCTCTGGCTGTGACCGCCCTGCTGCCTGTCATTCTCTTCCCCATGATGGGCATCATGGAATCAGGCGAGGTAGTACACATCTGTATCTGTGTACACACATTTCAATGAGCAATTTCTTTGAGTTCTCACTTTTGCATTCCTTATCCAGGTTTGTATCCAGTACCTCAAAGACTCCAACATGCTCTTTATTGGTGGGCTGCTGGTGGCCATCGCTGTCGAGCACTGGAACCTGCACAGGAGGATCGCCCTTCAAGTGCTGCTTATTGTGGGCGTGAAACCATCTCTGTAAGAAACGTAATTCTTTACAGACATACATGCTGCAGCTACAGTATAAAGTGTGTGGATACCCCTGTTGTCATATGTGGACAATCCCATTCAACCCCATCCAGCACCTTTGAGATTAACTGGTAACCCAACTGGTAGCCAGGTCTTTTCAGAACCAGTAATGCTCTAGAGGCTGACTGGGGGCAAATTCCTGTTAAAGTGTTCAAGTGTCCACATACTTTTGGACACATCATGTATATCATTTCTTTTCCTCTTTCCATCTAATCATTTATTTGTGCCCTCTCCAGCCTGATGATCGGTTTCATGAGCACCACAGCCTTCCTGTCCATGTGGATCAGCAACACAGCCTCCACAGCCATGATGCTGCCCATCGCCAACGCTGTGCTGCAGCAGCTGTGTGACACAGAGGCCAACGCTGAGGAGAGGGATTACAACCAGGGCAGTCAGGATAACGAGTCATTCGAGATGGACGACACCAAAGAGAGCAAAGAGGTCAAACCAAAGGACAGCAGCATCAACGTCTGTGTGTGACAGTGACCGTTTTTAAATTCTTTTTAAATTTTACATTGAACTAATTGAAGAGAATATTTCTCAGCTTTTTGGGCGCTATTTTTTTTACTGTTGTTCTGATGGTATTTTTCAGATGCAGTTAAAGATGGTGACAGTAAAGACATGAAGGAAATCAAGGAAAAAGACATTGAATCAAGTAAGTTTTTTTTAACTTTCTCTTTGAAGTGACAGCCTGGTTAGAAAACAATAATAAAAGGTCAACAGAACAGAGAGGTAGAGGAGCTTAAGTACTGCAGGCAAAAAATGAGCTTCTGACAATATTTGTCAAAGTAATCTTTCACAAACTCTTGAAATCCAATAAGAACTTGTCACTAAATTAAGCAATTACAGAAACTGGTAAAGCTTTGACACCCAAGCAGTAAATTCATTCGACACCAACAATTAAAATGTCTTTGCATTGCTGATGGTATTGCCTCTGTCCTTCCAGAAATCTGTGACAGGAGTCCAGAGGCCGAGCAGCGCAGACTGACGAGGGAGCAGAAGTATCTGAAGCTGACAAAGGGCATGAGCCTGAGTGTTTGCTACGCTGCCAGCATAGGTGGGACGGCCACCCTCACTGGAACCACACCCAATGTCATCATGAAAGGCCAGATTGATGAGTACGACCTGCACATATGCTTTCTTTTCTGTCTGTCTCTCTCTCTTGTCCCCCATCTTTCCTCCCACCTCCTCAACCTTGTATGGTAGTCTCGACCACCAGTGTGTGAATGTGTGTGTCTGAGTGGGTGAATGTGACATGTAGTGTAAAAGTGCTTTGAGTGGTTGGAAGGATAGACGGACGCCATACAAGGGCAATGCCATATTCCAAATGATTGAAAAAGTGGTTTGATGGCCAAAATCACAAGACTAATTTCCTCGTTATAAAGACAAAAAGTTCTGTAACTTGCTGACAGTTGTGGACTTTTTTCTGATCTCAATGTTTTATCATCAACAGACTTTTCCCAGGAAATGGAGGCATTATCAACTTTGCTAGCTGGTTTGGCTTCTCATTCCCCAACATGATACTGATGCTTGCCCTGTCTTGGTTGTGGCTGCAGTTTATGTTTTTGGGTTTTGAGTAAGTTTTACGTCAGTCTCTGTTCTGATATTTTGTTGTTGCTGTGAAAGCATCCAGATTGTAACGTCATCTTTTTCATGTATTGTAATTCCAGCTTGAAAAAATCTTTTGGATGTGGCTCACAGAAAGATGGCGACAGGGAGGCGTACCAGGTAATCAAAGACGAGTACAAGAAGCTGGGCAGGATGAACTTCGCTGAGAGCTGTGTGTTGGTCATCTTCACGTTGCTGGTTCTTCTGTGGTTCACCAGGGAGCCTGGGTTCATCCCCGGCTGGGCCACTGTGCTCTTCAACAAAGACAAACCGTGAGTACAACTGTTTGTCAGCTTTTTATGACTCCTACTTAAGAAAGGAAGTGAAGAATTTACAAAGCAATGAACAGATGTAGGAGGAGAAAACAGGGAAGGGTCTTTTTCTATCAATGTTCTATCTATGTTTTCTCACCAGGTATGTCACAGACGGCACCGTGGCCATATTGATGTCTGCACTCTTCTTCTGCATCCCGTCCAATTTGCCCAGATGCTGGGGGAATTCTGAAGATGGTAGGTCAGCTGGCATGTTTGTGATGATCTTGTGTGTGCAACAGGTGCATTGTTATACTTATCTTACTTTTAAAAAGGTATATAAACAAATTAACAATGCACCTTTTTGAGGATCATATTTTAAGATTCAGAAATCCAAGACATTAAAGTGTTTGTCGTTGTCTTAACGAGACAGTTCACTTAAAAAACAAAAATACATGTGTTTCCTCTTACCTGTAGTGATATTTATCAGTCTAGATTGTTTTGGTGTGAGTTGCAGAGTAGAGATGCCTGCCTTATCTTAGACATAATGGAACTAGTGGGCACTCGGCTTGTAGTGCTCAAAGCACCAAAAAACACATTTGAAAAACTCAACAGCAATGCCTCTTTCCAGAAATCATGACCTGGTTCCTCAAGATCATCATCATATCATATAACCATGCAAAAGGAAGTGTGCATCTACTCATGGACGAGAGGCTCATGCTCAAAACAACATGAGATGTAATCATTAATGTTGTCCCCCTCAGCTGAGCTGTAACGTTAGCTAGCTCAGTGGCGCTAAGTGAGCTAGCAGTAGATTCATGTGCCCTTTTGCACAGTGATACATTTGGCGGGTGTAGTTTGGCAGAAAGACAATAGTTCCCACATGAAACTGCTCACAAGGTCTGTGATTCCATGATTTGGACATTGCTTTTGAGTTTTATGTTGATTTTTTTTGTGGGCGCTTTGAGCACTGCAAAAGAAGGCAGACATCTCTCTGGCTGATATCTCCAACACTCTGCAACTCACACCAAAACAATCTGGACTGATACAGCAGCACTACAGGAAAGAGGAAAAACACATTTTTGATTTAGAGGTGAACTGTCCCTTTAAAACTCAAGACCTTGGTGCCAATTTAAGTGGCATATCTTTATTTTCATGTTTGTGCTGTCATTTCTTGAGCAACATTAATAAAATTGTGATTAAAAAATACATAAATTAGCATGTTGACCAGGGAATAACACCGTACTGTATATGTTGAAGCAAGAGGGCAGGATCTTGATCTCTTTTCAGCTGTATCTGTGCACGTCTGGACAGCACAGTGGAAGTGCTCATCCACTGATGCATCACATTTTATGTTTGTGTCATGTTAAGTCTGTCACATGAAGACGACAGTGCTGTTTTAGAAGCACGCCTGTCCTCTCTCTGTGTACTCTAAGATACAGTCAATAACCTGCTCCCCGTGACAACCCATCTCGCTGATTCAGTGCTTTCCAATAAACGTTATCCCAACTTCTTGCTGAGTTGTAGCCTGATAGCCTCAAGGTCAAGCCTGTACAACAGTACATGCTGTGCTATTCCTCAGACAAACACTTCTGTATCAATGATTTTTCTTCCCCTGGGTAACATAAGTTAAGCGTGTCCTGCTCCTGCCTTTAAGCAACAAGTTCTTTGGTACTCATCAAAAAGTGGAAACGCAGTGTTTTGTACACAGAGGAGTGACACAGTGATGAACACACACTTGGTTTAAAGGTTATGAAGCAGACTTTGAGGTGCCAAAGTCCATTTCTCACCTCAGAGAAGAGAAAAAAAAGACCAAATCCAGTTACAACACCACCTTTTAGTTATGATTTTAATGACTTTCCTGTTCATCACATTTTCTTTTTATCTTTATGGAGCACATTTATGGTCACAGCGTCTTATCTGTAGACAATAAAAATACACTTTTCTACAGTTAGGTCTGATATGTCATTATTTATGACTGTGTTAAAATATCAGTCTCAGCTCTTTCTTGTCTCCTTGTGTTTAGGGGCCCCTGCTGAAGCCCCTTCACCTCTGCTTAACTGGGACATTGTCCATGAAAAGATGCCTTGGAACATCCTTTTGCTTCTGGGAGGAGGTTTTGCGTTGGCACATGGAAGTGAAGTAATGCAGCTCATCATCAAGTCCACATGTTTCTGGTGGTAATCATGTCTATAAATGTTTGGATGCTGACATGTGTTCTCCCACCTTGCATAAAGAAATCTGGACTGTCAGTATGGCTCGGTGAAAGTCTCATACCACTGCAGAGCATCCCTCCTTTTGCCATCTCCATCCTGCTGTGTCTGCTGGTGGCCATGTTCACTGAATGTTCCAGCAACACTGCCACCACCACGCTCTTTCTGCCAATACTGGCCTCCATGGTGAGACTTTGACATTTTGACATTTTGGGAAATAGGCTCATTCACAAGCTATGGCCTAGGCACAGTAACTTCCTGGGGCCACATGCATAAAACTCTGTAGATTCATGACTAAAACTGTGTGTTCTCACAAAGGCAGAAATGTGCATACAGATTTTTTTTTGCTTACACTTGATTCTGTTTTATAAATCTTGATCGTTGTGGCACAGGGTGCATGTGCACGAGTCTCATTTCATGGATGTCCTTTTAATTCTTTTAATATCCAGGCAACCGCCATCAAGATACACCCACTGTACGTCATGTTTCCCTGCACCATCGCTGCCTCGCTGGCTTTCATGCTGCCCGTGGCCACTCCACCCAACGCCATCGCCTTCTCCTACGGCAACCTTAAAGTCATAGACATGGTAAGGCCTATCAGAAATGGTAGAGACCCCATAATAAGTGAGTGGGCTGACATGCATGCAGTGTTTTGGAAAAGGCTCATATCTAGTTTTAAGATAAGCAGCTTATATTAATCCTTATATCTGATCATTATTATCTATTTGCTTACGTACAATATCCTGAATATTACCATGGAAACTAAGCTCAGGCACACTGAGCAGCAAATGCAATGTGTGTATCGACAAATTGGTATTAATATTTACTCTGAGAGGGTGCTGACAGGACACTATATTGCCTTGTGCCAGGGTCATTTATGTTGTATTTTTCTGGTTGTTCCAGGCCAGAGCTGGATTTATTCTGAACTTTGTCGGAGTCATAACCATCAACATTGCCATTAACACATGGGGTGTGGCCATGTTCCAGCTGAACACCTTTCCCAGTTGGGCTAATGTCACCAAAACTCCTTGAATGTGAACTCAGGAGATGAACAATATCTGCTGACTGATCAGATTCGACCACTGGAGGACTGGGCCGGCACCTGACTTAGTATTTATATTCAAAGCTCTGCTCCAGTCAGTACAACCTGATGTCCATCGAGGCCTGTCCTCTCTGCAGCCTTCAATCTCATATCCTCCCTCACATTGTGATACTCTTCAGAAATAAGATGGACATGCTGACTGGAGACACTGGAGCGCCTCTCACTGATGTTTGACTGAACTGAGTTCTTTTCGTTTAGACAGATTTCTTTTGGACTGTCACCTGAGCAGGTTTAATTCACCTACAAGACATGACATTTAAAAACAAGTGTTTATGCAGTTTTTTTTTTTTTTGGTTTTCATTGAGATCTACACTGTGGTAAAACTTTGATATCATGAGTTGTTATTGCATCTGTAATAGGGAGGTGAAGTGGGACATTATTTCAGAGGAAATTTGCAGTCAATGGCAAGAGTCGTATAATGTTTTGATCCCAATTAGTGCCACAAATTACACACGTTTGTCAATGTAAAACATAACTTTTCAAGTCAAGAAAGTTGCAGTTTGTCATAGTACTACTCACTGTGTAAAACTGCTCAGTGAACTATATCTCTTGTCTCGCACAATATCACTTACACTAGCTAGCTAGCTACGTAACTTCGCTATGTTCCACACACGAATGTAACGTTATATTTTATGTATTTTATGTTTTATCCAGCAACTCCTGGGGCTGTACTCGCAAACAATCTGAGAACACTCTCAGAGAGTTCCTAACTTAGCCTAAAATTTTTTCGTGAAGAATCCAAGCCTAGGACTGATTTAGGGAAGTTCTCAGAGCAACTCTGAGCAAGGAAGAGACAGAAAGGAGGTGTGCTTGACCCTGTTGCTAGGTGTGATACATTCTTTTAACAGATGTGATTGGTTGTCACAGACACGCTTCTTTATGAGACTGCAAGGTGTGGACACCCAGTGGAAATGAAATGAACTGCTGACTGTGAAAGCGTCATTGTTAGTGTCATCACTCTGCTGATGGAAGGTTGAGACAGACTCAACTCATCACTGCTACACTGTTGAGTTTTTCCAGTTTTCCAAATATCTTAGTGTTGTGATCATTTTATTTCTGGTGTTAGGTGGGAAACGTGTGTATCCCTAATGAGATCAACCACAAATACTCTCCCTGCACAATCTCATCTGTATCTTTCATTTACTCACTGTCACTTTGTGTTTAGAAACTATTTCTCCTTCCTCTTTGTGTTTCAAGAAACTCTTAAGCCTCTTAAAAGTCCTCCTCCCTGCTCTGCAAAGTTTTTCATCCTCAGGAGCTCTTTTAAGTGCTAAAATGCTCTGTGAACAACTTTTATCTTTACAAGGACCTAGTCTTAACTTTAAGGGGAAATTCTAAGAAAACATCACAATTCTAAGAATTTTCTTAGAATTTCGTCACGAGGAGCAACTCTTTGTATTAGGAAACTTTGTGATAACAGCCCCTGATCTTTATCAGCTGGGAAGCAAAAGAATGAGCAAACCCTGTTGCTCATGTGAGTACATCCTGGTATGCAACACACAGGCATCGTAGCTTCAGCTAGTGAGAAAGGTATGATTTCACCTACGCAACTCAAGTACTCTTTGTAATTATGTATTTTCACAGTCTTTTACTTCAATAGTTTTGCGACAAACTGTGACTTTCTTTACTTGCAAAACAAATTAACATTAACACATTGTCAGCATATGTGTGATTCATGGCATAATTTACCCAGAATCAAAGCATTGTTTCTCTACACATTGACTACTGTACATTATTTTTCTGAACTAATGTCCTATGGTGGTCCACTAGAAGTGGAGGGACTTCCCCTCTCTATAGACAGTGTTACATCATCCTAATGTAATTAAACTAAAGTTTAACCAACATAAAACACCAGTGATTGTGTTTTACCTTTTGCATACTAAAGTATCATCATGTCCTATGGTAATACTGTTTAGCTCAGGTACTTGAAGAGTTCTCCTTAAACTTAATGGATGGTCACATGTGTTTGATAGGATAAAGTCTTGAGATGATAGAGAAACATGATTTCCTTACATTCTCAGTGTTACACTCACTGTATTCCCTGCAAGTTTGAAAGTACTGTTGTTAGTGAAACTAATTTATTGTCTGTCAACAACAGAACATTCAGCTTCCAAGAACATAAATCTTTGGAACAGAGATGCTGCAGGATCAAGGGCTCACTGTAGTTTTTGAGACTGTTAAATTTAATGACGGGATCAAATCATCAATCATCAAATCTCATCACTATCCATAGGATTAGGACCAGTGGGGTCCCTCAATTTATTTTAAAAGAGCCAAGAGGACAGATGGCAAATCTCTTCAAAGGATCAATGTGGGAGAAGATAAGGGAAATCAGTTATAGAAAACTGATGGAAAACATTTCATTGAACTCCTTGGCAGGGGTTCATATATCTGCTGTATATGAAGAGCAAAATGGATTTTAAAATGGTAAAAGTGCAGTACACAGAGGTCAAATCACGCGCACAGTTATGACGTCCAAAACATTTTTGTTTAATGTAGTGGCTCTTGTGGTAAAGACGAAGATGGCAACATCCAGACAAAAACTGCAGTGATGGAAGTTAATAACGGTACGATGGATGTCGGTTATCAGAGGTAAGACAGCATCTTCATAGTCATATTATCATATTATCTCATTTCCAGCTACAGTTTAAGCCAATCCTGTCCTGGTTTGTGTTTTGCGACTTAAAAAAGGCATGCATGATGTTTGTTAAATGCTGCAGTACACTTTCTGCTTAAAAGCTCAGGTGGATTGTTTAGTATTTGGCATAAGTGGAGGATTACTGACTGCGTGCAACAGCTGTTCTTACCAAGCTGTGAATCTGCAGTATACATAATAATAATCTGCAATTATCATACTCTCTGGAAAGCTTTACCACTTGACAGTACTTAGCTTTTCTGAACCTGCTTTTTAATAAGGGACCTGAAATGGTAATGCAATGGTAATTGTCAAAAAACACAGCGAGAGCAGTCATTTGGGAAGACAGCTGCACATTTTATTATTAAGTATCCCTGGGACAGGAAAAGTAATTGCTGAATTTATTCAACCTCACCTTCAAGCCAAAAAGTGAGGTGATAAATCTCACCGCCTCAGGTACTGTGAATGTTTTCAAAAGACTCATAAATCACCGTTTCTGATGACATGAAATATGGAATTGGGTTTCCCTTCATATCAAACTCATCTTCTACTTTATATGTACTTATTACAGTTGTTATGAAACTAATAAAAACAATTTAAATGGACTGTGCGGTGACAAACATGTTACTCTATGCTTTTAGTTTGCTATGACAGACAGCTTAAATGGGAACAATAAAATACAGCAGGTCAAAACATATTGCATTATAGCAAAAAACACATTACGTAATTCTGTTACAGACAAAATCCACTGTCACATGTTACAGTTCAATATTATGTGTATCAGTGTTCACATCTTTGGGTGTCAACGAGCCATTTCTTGGCATAAAACCTAAATGAGTGATATGATGGAGACTCTCTAATTATTTGTTGTACTGAATTCCACTGATGCGAAGCCCTGAAGGAAAATACAGCCGGCTGAATGCAATTTTTCTCAGTGGGACTGTGCAGTCTCGCTTAACTGCCCCTCTCGTAGCTCTGTCAGCAGTGGATCTGAAGGTTATGAAGCCAGATAGAGCAGGAGGTGCTAAACCATGCATAATCTTCTATACAAGACAAATATCTTTATACATGATGAGGTTTTCCCAGCTCAGTAGTTTATACTTCTTCAGAATATGGCAGTAATGAATGCATTAGACCAACATATCAAACAGTATGTGATGTGGGAGTCGACCATTGCGAAGAAGTATATCTTGGCAGAAGTCCCTGATAAACCTGAAGCAATCTAGCTTGTGGATTTGGAAGAGTTGTTTGTGTTTGTTAATATCCCGGGACCATCGTAAGCCATAGGTATAATATGTACATTTTGAAAATAGGCATAGTTCCCTTTTAAGGCGTTGGTTCCTGTAAGAGCTACCACAAAGTCAGTGGAAACAAAGTATTGTCGTCGTACCCACTTTCACTAAGTCACTCACAGTTACAACTTCCAGACAAGACGTGTGCTACTTTCAACTACGAGTTGTGTTGAGGTGTCGTAAGGGTTAATACAGTCCAGTCGCCAGAGGAAAATGTTGGCATTGTAGCTTTCTGCAAACCATGGATATGTTACATTTGTACGTTTCATACGTATCATATCAAAGTCTCTGATGTGACGTACTTCTGATTACATTAAATGAGCTGACTTTGTTTGTGAAGGTAGAAGGGATGGTAGAGACCACCATTCGAGACCAACAAACAACAACACCAGTTGTTTTTTAGCAAGCTGTAGCTGCATTTCCAGTGATGATTGTTCCACCAAACATGGGTGTCGTAAGCCAAAACATGACTAGGTTTTGTGCCTAAACATAACCACATGTTAACTGGAGCATTGTTGGAATGTGAAGAAACACAAAGTTTCAACTTGTCTGCTAATAATGTACAATGCTGTGTCTCAAATTGTGTACTTCCGTCAGTACACTTCCATGTAGTATACTATGTGCACTATTGGTGTAGTGCACAAATTTCGACAGGGTAGTATTGTCTCAAATCAAACACCGCCGTTGTGCACTCACCGGAAATGACGACCGCAAATTAGCTAATTAGCAAACTAGCATTAGCATACGCGTTATCGTTTGCGGTACCAAATCATTACAGCCTGCTAAATGAACCCAATAAACATACTGCTGGCTTATATCAACAGTATAGTGGTGCTTACTGCAAAAAACACATGTATTTGTACAATGCAGCGACGTTCATGGTCGCACAGTCCTCGGCCGCTATTTCCAATTTGAAAAGTGGTCCCTCCCCTTCCGCTACGTAGCCAAGATGGCGACCAACTTCTTGACCGTTTTGAGTGCACCATCTTGGTACTCATAGTGCACTGCATTTTTCCATACTTCTCAGTGTGAATGCACTTATGCACTCAAAATAGTAAGTGTAAGTACAGAAGTACGCGATTTGAGACACAGCGCAAGTGTTACATATCCGTGGTTAACAGAAACGTACAATGCCGACATTTGTTCTGGCGATTGGGTTGGTTAAGATACATATCTAATTGCCAGTGGTCCGATTCATTTTATTACCGTCTTTCTGCCCCATCTCCTGTCTGACTTCACTGTCTGCTGTCAATAAAGGCTTATGCTGTATCTCAAATCGTGTACTTCTGTACTTACACTTACTATTTTGAGTGCATAAGTGCATTCACACTGAGAAGTATGAAAA